TCTTCTGAGCTGAGCCAGCAGGGAGCCTTACTGCTTATTTATTTACTTATTTACAGCTTTAAATAGTTCATGGTTGAGTGGGGCAAAAAGGAACGCTTGCTGCTTCTCTGAAAGTCTGATTGGCAAACTGAAAGTGCCAGCTTCGGTTCCTGGGATTTGGGCTCCTTGTTGGTGTTCAGCCAACCTTCACGGTCTTGGGAGAACACTCATAAATCCTGTAGTTTTGCCCTTCTAAGCAGAAATGATTCTTGATTCGCTGAAGTCCCACTGGGGAACATGTTATTCACTTTCAAATATCGTCCTCTTGAAAGGAAGCAGCATCTCAGCTGGTGATTCCCTGCAGATAGTGAATGAACTTGGAGACTTGTGGACAGCCTGCTGGTTTAAGATGGAGGGGGGAACCCCGAGCCTAGCTAAATAAAGTTCATGTATCAATAGTCCTTCTGAGCTGTCCTTTCATATGCAGTTCTTTTGTGTCTGGGGAGCAGGGCCTGATAACGGCTTCAAAGTATCTGATTTCTAAGTGCTGCTTGGATATTTCAAGAGGTAAGACAGTGCTTCCTGAGGTTCTCCTAAATGACCCATACCAGCAGGGCTCCGACATGGTGACCCGCCAGCCTGGGAGGGACAGCCTTCTGCTGGGGCATGGCTTGTAGGAAGCGAGGGGCGCCTGGACAGGACGGCTATGGCCGTTGTTTGGGTGGGGAGTTTGGCCGTCTCTGTAGTTTTGTTTTTTTCCCCTTGTTCTCTTTGCCAGCCTTGTCCTGTCCAGAGAGACTGCTGGGGTGTTTTCTTCATGAGCTGAGTTTCGAGGGCCCTTTTCTCCCTGAGCCAACTCCTGCCCTCCTTCGGGGTTGCTTTCTGCCCTGTGTGGGTGAGTGGAAAGATTTCCAAAGCACCCTTATCTTGCTCTGCTTGAAAAAACCTGTCTTTCCTATACCTGTTGTACAAAGGCTGCAGACAGCCAGGGGAATACTATAGCCAGCAGGCAGCGTTGGAGAGGTGTCAAAAAGCTGATGCCCCTCTGCTCTCATCCATATGGAAGAAGGGTTATCGTCTGCCTCTGCGTGCAGTAAGATCCTTCTAAAAGGCTATGCAGTAGATACTTATTTTTTTCAAAAACTGCCTTTCGAAGGAAAAAAAATGAATGCAGTATGGAGAAATCCAAGACCCAGTTTGTTCAGGTCATGCCTTCTGCTATTTGCGTTGACACGTCTGTCCTAGTGATGGCTTCCTTGTGTGATGGAAGATGCAGCTGGGAGCTCCGATAACGCCCTGAGCTCTTGCAGAGCAGGTGGGAGCTTGGCAGGAGCCACTGACAGGTTTCTTTGTGTAAAATATTCCGCATTCTGAGTGGTTCTGTTTTTTCTCTTTAGCTTGGTAGCTGGGTAAGGGAAGCGAGGAATGTGGTAGGGGCCAAATTCTGCTCTGCATGCATCTGCTTCTGAGAAGTGCCTATAAGAGCACGTCATGGGTCCAGCCTGTTCATTGCTGCAGTTAAACATTGCCTAAATTGAAGCATACGTTTGTGCGCATCACGAAAATTGTAGAAGATCCTTTTAGTTATGGGCTTCTGAGGATTATAAGGCTGCTAGGTTTTGGAAGAAACCCATCAGATGAAATAGCTGCTACCTGCAGTTCCTGTTCATCTGATACGGGTGGGATGATGCCAAGTTCTCTGGTAGGCTGAGAGATGCGGTGGGGTGTGTTTGTGAGGGGAAGAATTAGTACCTGCCACTTTTCTGCTTGTGCCCAGTTATGGTAGGATTCAAGAAACCCTCAAAACAAGCTGTTTAGAAGTTGCTGGAAACCACAAGCAAGCCTTGCTGGTGAGATGGCTGCACACCATTGTTCAGTGCCTGCTTTAGTTTCAGTTTAATGGTCAGTCTAGCGCTGCTGATCTGTGACCAGTGACATCCAGTGTCAGAACCTGGATCCAGGAGAGGCCAAGTAAAGGGGCTGTGACTGTGTCCTCTTTAGCTTTCAGCCTTGTGCCTCTACTGGGGATCAGTTGGTGCCTGTAGTGGGACAAGGTGATATGAAGAGCAGTGCTAATGGGGACTGGACTGGAACCTGCCAATTTATACCCTGGATGCCATTCGGTACCCATTGGTTAGAAATATTATTTGGTTACTCAGTGCCCTGGGCAAGGTGTTTGATGTTAGAAGCCTGAGATTTTATGTGTGTGTATGTGTGTGTGTATACATATATGTGTCTGTGTATATATATATATATATAAAGTGGCTCTGCTGCAGCTTTTATATAGACATTTTTAATTTCTAAATGACCTGCTGCTTCCATTCTGAGTAGTGGCTTTTCTAATCTTCGTGTCAGAAAAAATGATGCTGCCTTCCTGCAATCCTTCTGTTTGTTTCCACAGCTGTCCTATTTAAATTGCTTAATTTTTTGTGCATAAGCAAATCAAAGGTTAACATTGAATAGCTGACCTGAGCTGTGAGCACAGAAAGCAGTAGCAATGGCAGGGTGGTTTCTGAGGTTGTAGGAATAGGAACCTAAATCAATAGCTTTTAGCAGACTCATAAATGTTTCATTTGTATTCCTTGCTTTAGCATTACAGAGCTTTGACACGGGAATCCATATAACCTCTTAAATTAGTGTTGTCCATGTGGTGGATGTAGGTGTTGGAAACCGTTTCCCTCACATGCACTTCAAAGTGCTGCTCCATAATGGCATTTTCCTTCCTGTTTTGGAGCCTTGATTCTGCACAGCCTCCGATCACAAGCAAAATGAGTTTGGCAGCCTCAGCCCCAGGCTGCAGGGATTTTGGCAACGAGCATGCACGTATCCAACCCAAATACCCATGTCGATGCCCCTGCCTGGCTCAGAGGCCAAGTAAGTGTTGTGGCTGCTTGGGCAAGCTACCGTTTCTGCACGGAGAAGCACAGAGAGACCTTTTCCCTGGACTGCGACACAGCCCCGAGGAATGAATGAGGCCTCCGGAAAACCAACCTCAATAATTCATGGCAGCGGGTGGGGAAGGAGGGACGTGCCCACAGCTATTTGTCGAATTTGGACTCTTTTGGAGGCGCTGGAGAAGCAGGGGGTAGGAAGCGCGCGAGCAGAGCGTGAGTCAGGCAGCTTATCTGGCCATCCGCCTCTGCTTGAGGTCATCCACCCGTGGAGCGTGGGAGGGTTGTGCAGCTCCAGGTCTCCGCCAGGTCAAGGCTGTGACCTGCCAGCAGCCTGGGAGCACTGCGTCCGCTCTCTCGGCATTTTGTGGCTTCCCCCGGCACCCTGAGTGCAGGGCTGGGGCTGGGGCTGTGAGCTCAGCCTAGCTGGGGAGGACAGGGCTGATATGTAGACCTTGTGCTTGCAGGGGAGAAAGACCCTCGAGAAACCTTGAGCTGGGAAGAGCAAGTAAAAAAAAAACAACCCAACAACAAAAAGAACCCAATGAAAACCCCTTCCCTAGCTATATCTGTGTGGCTGATTACTGATTTCTAAACAATTAGGTGGCTGGAGCAAGATGCCATGGGGTTTCAGCCCTGGCGTCTCTAGTCTGCAAAGCAAAACTGCAGTGTTTCTGGGAAGGCAGGGTAGAAAAAATAGTGTGGGTGAGAGAGAAGATACAGCAGAGCTGAATAGTGTTTCTCAAGCAACCCTTTTTTCTGTGAATTAGGGCCACTGTCCCCAGCTTGTAGCTGTTCTGGTGGCTGCCTTGTGTTGGCAGGGAAGCTGAGCTGCAGGCAGCAGCCCCTGATGCTCCTGTGCATCCAAAGAGGGTCCTCCCTGCTCTAAGTGCCAAAATGCTCCTGGGACAGTTCAACCCCCCCTCTCCGAGCTCTGTGACATGCCCCCATCTTTAGTTCATTTAGTGGGCTGCCTGCCTGCAAGCTCTACTGTTAGCCAGGGAGAGTCTCTTTTATTGAAAAATGAATGTCACCTAGTGTAGTGCCTGTGATGGCTTTGCTGTGCCTGCTGCCACAGGAGCCCACAGCGGAGGCACAGCAGGCTGACGCCATTTTTCCTTTTTTTTTTGGGCTTGTTTTTCAAACCTCAGGACGGTCGTGCTACCAGCTTCAGTACTGACTTTCTGCTGTAAGAGAGGACTGTATGCATATCTGTCTGTCTACTTTAGTTACATGGGGAACAAAACAGAGCTGGCTAAAATACTTTGGAGTAAATGACTTGGATTTTATCATCTAAGTAGTATTAATTTGATTGGTCCAAAGGGTTTTTCTTCTACAGGCAAGGATAGGTATCAAGTAGCACTTAAATGAAATAGTAGCTAATAAAAGCTTGTGTTTGCTTCTGCTTGTCTCTTAAAAAGCACTATTTAGCTGTCTCTTTTGTCTTATTCTCTGATGTCAATCTGTCCTGCAAAATGTTTAAGTCACATGAAGTGTCTGGTGAGTTTTATCAACAAAAAATTACAATGAAAGGATTTGGTAAAATTTGTTCAAAGCTTTTTGCTTGTGCTGCTAGCTAAATATTCCATAAATAAAACCTGTAGCAATTGCCTTTCCTAAACCTGCAGTAATCTTCATGAAAATCAGAAGCCAAACTTGATTTCTGCTGAGCCAAGAACAGACCGATGCCCTTTATCCTGGATAGACTGCTCTCTTAGTGCTGTTTTCTAAGGAAAAATAACTCTTCTGCGGTTTGCCAATACCCTCTAGGGGCTGTGGAGACAATTTACCATCAAGTTTGGGTTTTGATTGCTTCACTTTGTTGCTCCGTTGCTGAAACCAAAGTGTAGAATTTCCCCCTTCACCCCGCTCTGCCTTCCCACACTGCTCAGCCTGAGTCTAGCTGAGCTAAATTTTTGGAGGATGTGAAGGTGCAGGAGGCATGGGCCCTGCAAGTGAGGGTGCAGGAGCACCCACAGAGCAGGAGCACTGGGGTGTCACCTGGTGCTTCACGTCTGAGGTCCACTGACAGTGTCACAGGGTTGGATAGCAAATGCATATATTCTCCATGCCTTACATCAGTAAGGACAAGAGAATAATGTTTTTTCTGTTTGTTTCTCTGCAGGAAAGAGCACTGTCATCATGTCAGTCAGCGTCCACGAGAACCGTAAATCCCGGACTAGCACCGGCTCCATGAACATCTTGCTTTTTCACAAAGCTTCTCACCCGGACTGCGTCTTGTCCCATCTGAACACCCTGCGGAAGCACTGCATGTTCACCGATGTCACCCTTTGGGCAGGAAACAGGTCGTTCCCATGTCACCGGGCAGTGCTGGCTGCCTCCAGCAGGTACTTTGAAGCCATGTTTAGCAACGGCCTCCGGGAGAGCCTGGATGATGAGGTGAACTTCCATGACAGCCTCCACCCAGAGGTGCTGGAGCTACTGCTGGACTTTGCTTATTCCTCTCGGATCATCATCAATGAGGAGAATGCTGAGTCCCTCCTGGAGGCTGGAGACATGCTGCAGTTCCATGATGTCCGAGACGCGGCGGCTGAGTTCCTGGAGAAGAACCTCTACCCTTCCAATTGCCTGGGCATGATGCTGCTCTCGGATGCTCATCAGTGCCGGCGGCTCTATGAGCTCTCCTGGAGGATGTGCCTGGTCAACTTTGAGACTGTTCACAAGAGTGAGGACTTCAACAACCTTTCCAAGGACACTCTGCTGGACCTCATCTCCAGTGATGAGCTGGAAATTGAGGATGAAGAAAAGGTCTTTAAGGCTGTCATCCAGTGGGTGAAATACGATCTGGATGAGCGAAAGGCTTATCTCCCAGAACTTCTGAGGAACGTTCGTCTGGCCTTGCTTCCTTCTGAATGCCTCAAGGAAGCCTTGGCTTCTGAGGACTTGATCATGGTGGATGAAAGGAACAAACTTGTCTTGGACGAAGCAATTCAGTGCAAGAAGAAGATCCTCCAGAATGATGGGGTGGTCACCAGTCCCTGTGCCAGGCCTCGCAAAGCTGGGCACACGTTGCTGATCCTGGGAGGACAGACCTTCATGTGTGATAAGATCTACCAAGTGGATCACAAAGCAAAGGAAATTATCCCCAAAGCAGACCTGCCCAGTCCGCGGAAGGAGTTTAGTGCCTGTGCCATCGGCTGCAAAGTATATATCACTGGAGGCAGGGGCTCGGAGAATGGGGTCTCAAAAGACGTATGGGTGTATGACACCGTTCATGAGGAATGGTCAAAAGCTGCCCCAATGTTAATAGCTCGGTTTGGGCACGGCTCGGCTGAATTGGAAAACTGCCTGTATGTGGTTGGCGGTCACACTGCAGTAGCTGGAGTCTTTCCTGCATCTCCTTCTGTCTCCTTGAAGCAAGTGGAGAAGTACGATCCCATATCCAACAAATGGACAATGGTGGCTCCTTTGAGAGATGGAGTGAGCAACGCTGCGGTGGTGAGTGCCAGGCTCAAGCTTTTTGTCTTTGGCGGGACCAGCATTCACCGAGACATGGTATCCAAAGTCCAGTGCTATGATCCAGCTGAGAATCGGTGGATGATCAAAGCCGAATGCCCACAGCCCTGGCGCTATACAGCAGCCGCTGTCCTGGGCAGCCAGATTTTCATCATGGGAGGAGACACCGAGTTCACGGCAGCATCCGCCTACCGCTTTGACTGCGAAACGGACCAGTGGACACGAATTGGGGACATGACAGCCAAGCGCATGTCATGCCACGCTTTGGCCTCGGGGAATAAACTCTACGTGGTGGGGGGTTACTTTGGCACTCAGAGGTGCAAAACGCTGGACTGCTACGACCCTACGTCAGACACGTGGAACTGTATCACAACGGTGCCTTACTCGCTCATCCCCACAGCTTTTGTCAGCACGTGGAAGCACTTGCCATCATGATGAGGGTCAGGGCTCGGGGGCTTGTATCCAGGAGGTCAGTAAGGTAAGGGTCTCCTCCTCTTAAACTGAAACTCGCTGTCTTGCCTCAATTGCATCTGCACACACCACGCCAAAGCCACGGGTTCCAGGTTGCTCGTGTTTTATGAGAAGGGTACATTTAAAGGTGGGATGCAGTGCCAGAAAAGAGTAATCACTTCTGCGATGTTGTAAGTCTAGCTAGCTCCAGGTTTCTCTTGTTTCCAGATGATCCTCCCAGTATCTTAAAGATACAACTGCATAGGTGGCTGTACGCAGCCCGCAGCTCCTCTCCCTCTGCTCCAAGCTAGCTGGATGTGCCAGTGTCTATGCGTGGATGGGCAGGGGAGGGTAGGTGCGTCCATGTCTGCTCTCATGGCTATCACCATGGAATACAACCTGTCCCCCTGGGGTATAGGGGGTTAAGGTTTCTAAAAGCACTTGCATGTGAGTCCTGGGAGATACTAGGGCAGCAGGTGCTTTGGAAAAAGTCTCAGTAGTTCAATATTTTTGCTGAGCATCTGGGTGATTTATTCGGAGCTGATGAACGTGTAGGCAAGTGACCCTTGGGATGCCGGCAAGTCTTGGATCTCTTTTTATGCTCTGTATTTACCTTTCAGTGGGTAGCAGAAGCAAAAGCTTAGAAGCCATGGTGCATTTGATGGTCCTGGTGTTTATTTAACATCCAAACCGTTGCTTGTTAAATCAGAACTTCTGAGACTTCTGTGTGAGACCTGAGTGGGAGGGAGGGGGTTTTGTAACCAGAAGAAGAATGTGTTTATCGGTATTTTGGGGTGTGTGAAAATAAGAAAGTTGGTGGAAACTCATGATGTCCTGTCTCATTCTGATGCTCCAGTTCTTGCTTGCTCAGGGAAGGTGCTATTGCAATGCCACTGCGACAGGGCTGTTGGCTCCTCCTCTCTCCTCCCCAGTGGGATGTTTGGATGCCATTCTGTTACCAGTTTTGCTCCACAGAGCTTTGCATGTCTTCACCAATCTGTGCTAAGATGCAGCTGGCCAGGCAGAGGCCAAAAACTCCTCTCACCTTGCATTGTGAAAGCAGATATTGGTACAGGCAACACTTGGATAGCGTCATCTTCCCGGCAAGTCTGTAACACCTCTGCTAGCTCAGTCTGCAGGTTTCACAGTGCCAGCAACACACACAACCCTGCTTTGGCGGGTAGAGACTACATCCCAGCGAGCTGAAGGAGCTAGGAAACCCTTGCGTATAGGGGCAGGATTGACAAGCTTCACTTAAGGTTTTATTTGGCAAGTGGGAACTGTGTGGAGGGAAATTCTTCCATAGACTCATCAAAATCTACTTCACTTAATACAGGGAAGAAAGAATGCTGCCCAAACCCTCTAACACCCTCTCACTTCCCTGCTTCCCACTTGGTGTGGTTGGTGCGCCTGGGAATCACCCAGCGGGTGAAGTTACTGGCATCTCCCAGTGATGCATCTCTTTTGATGCCAGCTGGGAATCAAGGAGGAGCTCCTGGCACCGTTGCTGGGCATCTGCCCAGCGTGACCACCTGCTTTTCTCAGGTGGAGAAAAAGCACCCAGAGCATTGTGCTGGCCTTTGATTTGTGAAACACCTGGTTTTAACATGGGTTGGACCACAGTGAGGGCAGGGCAAGAGTGGAAAGGGTTAAAATGAGATCTCCGAGAGCTTTCCTAGTACTGGAAGATAATGGCCTTTCCAAATTCTCCTCCTCAGGCGTTGCCTAGCATCTGTCACAGTAGCTCAGTAATCTAATTAACTGCCACTCAGCTATTAAATATTGCAGCAAAGAGTGTGAGGACTCCATCATTTTCAACTCAGGTCAATGGGGCCTCCCTTTAAGAGCCATCCTAGAGCTGAAAATTAATTTTCTCTGGTAGCAGATGTGTCTGAATATTAAAGCTCAACACCAGCTGCACTGCTGGGAACAGGAATAGGGAATATTTTGAGGTGGGGGTTGATTCTTCAGCCACCAAATAAAAAGCAGTCTCCAAAGTCACAGAGATGTTATTTTCCTCTCCTACCTTTTTTCCTCTGTACTGTATTTGGGTTGCTCAGACCTAATAAAGAGCTTTGTGGGGGTTGTATAGATATTTTTTTCCCCCTGTAATCTGGAGCCTGGCACAAGCACAAGAAAACTAGGAATTGTAATATGCCAACCTGCAAATAAAACTGGTGAAAAGTCGCTGTGTGAGGGTTTTATGTGCTTTTTTGGCTTTGCTTCCACTCTTTGGTTAAACGAAGTATTTAAAATATACATGAGTTCTTGCCAGACAGAATGTCTCTTCACTTCATTTTTCTAGAGTGTTTTTTGTTGTTTTTTTTTTAAGAAAAAAAAAACCCCAAACTTAAGTTATTGTTATGGCTTCAGCCACTGTGACAGCTTCTTAATAAAGCACCAAGACGGGTGGATGAAGGCCAGACCTGAATGTCTCTGATGTGCATGCCTTGCCCACACAGCACCAGCCACATCCCACATGCTTGTCTTGGCTGTCCTGGCTGCAACTGTGCCAAAACTGGGCTCAGGAACTGGGGTAACTGGCTATAGGGTTCTACAACTACCCTGTTGTCCTATAGCAGGTCTGGCCAAAGGATCTTCTGGCTTACAGCTCCCACTGTGTCACATCTCTGCTGCAACAAATGTTTTGGTCCCTGTGGGATCCTTCTTCAAGTAGGGACACCCAGAAGGCAGGTTGGCCAGCACGTGCCCAGGTGCTGGTGTGTTTTGGGAATGCTAATCCTATGGGAACCCCCCTCAGCTGGTGAAGGCTCAGGAGGGACCATCCAAGGTGCCCTTGGAGCAGACAAGCTGGGCTGGTGGGGAAAGGCCTGGGCAATCTCATGGTAGGAAATAGTACTTTGTACCCATGAAAAAAACCCGCCTTCGTGCCTATAAACTGGTGAGGTTGCATTCATACTGGCCCTGAAACCCAAATAATACAACCTTGAAAAATGTTGATCATAAAACACCAAGCCTGCTTTCCATTTAAAGCATAAAACTGGTCTGCTGGAAACGTTTCCTCAAGGGCATGGCCTTCAGCCTTCCCAGCTGGAGCTGGGGCATCTTTCGGCAGAGGTCCCAGAGCCCCTGAAAGGATGCCATGTGACATTAATTTAGTGCTTATTACCTGCAGTTAATTCCAGGGATCAAGCGTGATTAGCAATATGAAACGTGAAAGCCTGGTCTCCTCCCACCTGTGGCGGTGGAGCCACGAGGAGGCCAGTTGTTACAAAAGGGAAATAAAATACTGAGCACTTGGCTAATAAAGACTCTCAGTTTATAAACACAAGCAAAGCCCAGCCCGGAGCTCAGGGGAGGATGCTGGGTGGTCTGCTGCAGCCCTGTGCAGTGACAATTGATGGGGACACCTCTACACCTCCCAGGAGGTGACTTCAGGTGGTACCAGGAACAGGTTCTGCAAGCTGCCTGTCTCCAGATTAAAAGTGGCTTCTCCAAACCCTCTGTCGCGTGCGATGCTCTCATTTTCATGGGGCAGAATCACAGATGGGCTTGGGCCAGAGAGAGGAGCCTTCGGCTGGGGGTCAGAACAGTCACCGGGGAAGACGGAGCCACTGAGCGGTTGCGTGTTCCAGCCAGGGACGATGAGATGGAGAGGGAAGTCGCTGTGTCCCTCTCTGCTGGCTCCTGAGCCGCAAGCACTCCACTGAGGTGGAGATGCCAGAGCTCCCATCTCAAAACAAACAGGGACGTAGCAGCTAGGAGCCAGAGGTTCTCCTCCCAATGCCTTTCAGCTCCTGCAGGACCCTCCTCACTGCCTGGGCTCTAGGAAGCGGAGGCAGGTGGCCAGGCACTGCTCGGGTGTTTATTCCTGGGGCTCATCTGAAAGCTCGGAGGCCATTTTGTGGCTCCCACCGGAGCCCTTCGGTGAAGTTTGGCTCCTGCGAAGGCTGCGGGGTTGGACCAGCAGCTGGTGCCTGCTTTTGGGTGGGTGCTGAGCAGCAGAGGCTGCGGGCTTTGAGGTAGCTCCGGCACCTAAAAGCTGAACTTTGGCCCCAAAGCTCCTGCAAGGATTTAGGCAGCGTGCCAGGCCCAAAACTGTATTCTGATACCGTGGTCACATTAAATGTCAGATCTGTTCAGTGACTTTTCCCGATTGTTTAATGACAGCTTAGATAACAAGACTTTTGCAAAAACGGTTGTACCACTGCCTGGTTTGGCTTCCCTTCCACGTGGAACAGCACTTGGTCAGCTGCAAGAAGCTGCAGGGTTTTGTTGCTGTGCGTCGCTCCTGGCTCCATCCGCAGAGCCCTGCTCGCAGCTGGACATCTTCCCGTGCAAAAGCCCTGTGTGCCTGCAAACGGCAGCCTGAAAGACTGTCAGCGTAATCTCCCGGCTCCTAAACGCCCCAGCTCACCGGTGTGCTGCTGGGTTGGTTGCTTGCAACCTGTTACTACCTCACTGGTATTGCCGGAACGAAGTCACAGCTGTTTTCTCTCGGTGGCTCCTAGGGAAATCCATTTGCATGCATATAATAGCGAGGCCGGATAAACAGGGACTGCAGTTTTTTGCCGCTGCTGCTGTTTCCAAGCGGCTGGTTGTCTCTGAAGCCAGTTTATCAGGCAGCGTTGGAAGGGAGTGGCTGGCCTGGGGAGGAAAGTCAATGAAAATCAGGCTTTTCCTAACCCTGGGCAGATGGAAACATGTGCAGTCTGAGCTTGGCCCCAGACTGGATTAATCAACCCCTTGGAAATGTCAGTCATATGGATGGTTTTGGAGGAACTGGTGGAAAAAGAGAAAAAGGGTCTTTTTGTTTTGTCTGTTCCAGTTCTTGGGCCCTTCTCCCTGCCCTAAAAAAAAAAAAAAAAGCCAGAACTCCATTTCCCTCAACTTTTCATTCCCTTGTCATGTCCACAGAAGTTTCCTGGACGACTCTGCCCGGCTCCCTGGTGCTCTAAGCCCTCCCCAGCTGAACGCCTGCTCTCTCCCCTCTCCCGCAAAAGCAAAGCATACCCCAAACCCCAAATAAACCAGCTGCTTTCCACTTCCACCCATCTCTGGGATTCGGGGTGGGGGGGGTTACCCCAGTAGCTGCCAACGTGCAACCCCTTTTCTGGTGCTCCCCTGCACGAGCTGAGCCGAGCATCACGCCTGTTAATGAGCTTTCTCTTTCCCTCCCCAGATGCCAGTCACGTCCACATCCCCTGTCTCGCTGCTGGAGCCGACGCGGTGACCGAGTCCCCTCCTGCTCTCCCGCACAGGACTCCGAGGAGCCTTTGGCATCCCTTCCCGGCACCAGGAGTGGGAGGCACAGCCTGCCTGGCCGCCGGCATCACACCAAGGGGGGTGCTGCAAGGGCCACCCAGCCCCACCACCGGCTGCCGCGCGAGGACAGCGAGGAGCCGGGAGCGCTGGCTGCGGGGCTGGGGCTGGGTATGGGGGGTGCGGGGACGGCTCGTGGGCACCAGCGTCTTGATGGGACTGGGGAGATGGAGGGTGTGCACCAGGCTGCATCCCTTGGCAAGCACGGCATGGGGAGCCGTCAGGTGCTTTTGGTTACTCGGTTGCGGGGGTTAAGAGCTATTAATACTTTTTTTTTTTTTTTTAAAGGCAGTGAACTTGCCATTGGCAATGCCTGCTGTTTGGGAGACTTGGAAGTGTTTTTTTAAAGGGAAGAGGGGTTGAGAGCACCTGGCTCTCCCCATCCTCTGGCCGCTCCGCATTGGCAATGGCTGTCGAAACATTAAAGCATGGGAGCTCGGGGCGGCTGCCAGCAGCGCTGGGTACTGCGGTGAAACAGGGCAGGTGCCTTTTGTTTTGCACTTTGGGCCTTTTTATGGTGGTTTTGGTGGGTTTTTTTTTCCCCTTTCCTCGCTGCAGCCGGCTGCGATTTGGTCGGAGGCCGGGCAGCTCCCCGCACACAGCTGCTGGGAAGAGTGCGGCGGCTCTGTTAGCGTGCCAAGGCACCGGCACCGCTGCCAAGATATTCACCAGATAAAACCTGCTGCGTGCTCAGAGCCGGTCTTCTGAGTTTCCCCGCCGTGCTCACTGAGCAGCGCGTGGGTGAGGGCGTAATTAGCAAACGAGCAGAAACAGAGGTGCAGCGGGTCAAAGCTCGCGCCTTGGGAGGGGGCATCTTGCCTCTAGTGAGCCTCGGACGGAAAGCGAGCAGACTCGGGGAGCATCGCAGGGCAGGCTGGGGAGGGACCCCCCTCCTTCGTGCCGTGCCGCACATCCTGGCTTCACCTTGGAGAGACGTGAGCATTTTTGACGGCACGTTGCCTGCCAACGGTTGGGCTGTAGCTGCCCCAGGTTTTCTGTGCACGCTGGCTGCCAACTGTATTTGGGTTTATCCGTGCCGGTGCTGTCAGCCCGAGTCGCTCCTCATTCACGCTGTGGAGGAAGGCACGTGGATTTTGGCTGTCGACACGGGGCTGCAGCTCCCGACTGGCCTCCTCCAGGGCTGGCCACTGCCGAAGCTGGTCCTGCACCGCCCCAGCATCCCGCTTCCCTCCGCAGCAGATCTGGTCCTGCAGATGCTCCAGGCTTGCCTTTCGCCCCTGGATTAGGTTAAGCTGTAGCCTGGCCAGCTGAATGATGCAATGCAATGAAAAGCCTTGACATGGCTTCAAACAACAAAGGTCTTTTTGGAGCAGCAAGCGCCTGTTGCTGCCAGGAAGAGCGCACTTTGTGCACAGCCAGTCTGCCATGCTCTGAATGGCATTTATTTACATTTTCTAGTCTTTTTTTTTTTTTTCCTTCAGCTGCTTGTGAACTTTAATAAAAATGATGATCTGGGAAACCAGTTGTGTGTTTTTCACAGGAGTCTTCATTCTTAAGCAAGTTGGATTTAGGTCTAATAACAGGGCCAAGGAATAATAACAGGGTTGGCATTCGGTGGGGCGGTTCACAAACAACCTCCTAAGCAACCAGCCCGGCTGTAATTATTACTGCTTCAGTGCTTGGGAAACTGAGGCACAATGTCAAGTGTCTTGTCCAAGGTTAGTGGTAGTTCTGAGAATAAAGTCCAGGGCTTCTCATGTCCTGAGGCCATCGCATGTCTCCTTCTCCACGGCTGCTCTCACTCGACTTGACCGTGCCATGATTTTAGGAGAACTTGCGAGTCTGCAATGCTAGTACCTGCCAAATAGGTTGAGGGGGCCCAACCCAGACACAGCCGTACTCCTGCAGGGAAAGCCAGTAATTTCTGAGGAAGACGAGAAGAATTTATACTTCTGTTTTCCTTATATTTGCCTTTGCTTGGCTGCTGCAGCTCCCAAAAAAGGGGCCCATTGACAGGCAAGATGGGCTTTCCAGCTGGGGTTCCTGTTCATGCTTCTCCATGTGCATCTCTCCCCATCCCAGAGGAGCAGGAGACTTGATCCAGCCCTGCTCTGGGAAGGCTCTGGGCTCTCCCCTGCTGTGAGACCAGCAGCTCCAGCTTTGCTCAGGACTGGGAGCGCGAAAGCATCACTCAGAGCAGCTAATAGGCACCAGGCAAAACACGACAACCTTGCAAATGCCTATTTGCCTCTTACTAGCAGGGGCCGTTGGGCTTGGGAAGCAAAACTTCCTACGGGTGTTATGCACGGTCTCAAAGGGCTTTGGAGCCTGAATTTCTGAGCTGTAAAGGAGACTGGGAACATGTCTCCTTGCCCGTGGGAGCTGGGTGGGCAGCAGCATTAGCTGACGTGAGCTGGGCAGATATGAGTGTAAGGCTCCATAGAAAAAGCTCATTAAAGAGCCCTTTGGGAAAGCGATTCAGGGTAGAAATTACTGTTTGATGAGCAGAAGAGGGGAAAAAAGAGTGAGTCTGAATGAAATCCCTTTCAGTTTTGTTGATTCAGGTTTTATGTGGGACTCTGGGACTTTAAATACCAGCTCGGGAGGCTTTGCGACTGGCTAGCTTTGATATGAGCCATGCAAAGACCTGCTCTTTTGTATTTATTCTGGAGCTTGCCTGAAAGACAATTCAAAAGCAATCAGCAGCTGCTGTGACAGCAGCAACCTGTTGCTATGGAATTAAATGCGATGCAAAATACAAAGGTTTCTTGGTTAGCAGCAACAAAGTAAAAGGGGAATAGGAGATGGAAACGGATGCAACAGTCGGAATAAAGCTACAGCCAAAGCAGGGCTGGGGTTTAATGGGGAGGTACAGGGGAAGAAATGTAAACGTGATTTGTTTTGCTTTTTTAAAAGAGCTTTTTCACCATCTCAGCAGGTCAAGCTCAGCTTTGTCTGAGAGTGAGCGCTTGGGAAAGAGTCTTGTCTGATGGCCTTACAGGGGTTGTATGTTCCCAGGCTCCTGGGAAACGTGCCCACTTGCTATAGCCAACCCTCGCTGTAGGGTGTCGCGAGCTCAGCCATCTTCCCCAGGAGGTGGGCAGGAGCCCAGCACGGAGATCTCCCAGAAGCGCAGGGTCTTGCAAGGATCCGGCCCTTGCTCAGACCCAGGCATGGCAGCAAACTGCTGCCGGCAGACACAGGCCACCAAAGGGTGGGCACTTGTCCCACTCTTACCTCCTGCCTCATTTTGCAGCGCCCGGACCCACGGGAGAGCTTGGACAGGACACCGCTCCTTTCTGGCCAGGTCTGGAGCTTGCTCTTGAGCTCTCTCTCCACCTCTGTTCCCCAGCTCTGTAGCAGGGTGCTTCTCCCTCTCCAAAAAGCATTTGGGAGGAGGGGGAAGGGAGATGCTCAGAGAAGGGACTGGGCAGGCAGCTAGCGGGACCAGACCTCTCCCAGGCCCAGGTCTCAGGACCGCCATTCCCAGGGACTGACCACGCTGAACCTCCCAGATGCAAAAGGCTGGTAGTCCTATGTCTTATTTAAATGAAAGTCATAGTGCCTTACTGGTTTTTAAATATGCATTTTCCCAGCCTGACCTCAGCTGCCCTTGAAATAATACTATTGTGCAATGAAGCCCTATGGGGAATTATCATCTGAGCTTGCCCTCCCTTTGTCACTAGAGTCAATTAAAAGCAGCGTAGCTGGTGATTTAATACCTCCAGCGTCTGAGGAAGCCCCACAACCATCCAGAGGCTGGCTCTGGCATTCTAGACACATAATTGGAGTGGAGGAGTGTTTTTTCCAGCCATCCAACATGCTTTCAAATTCATCCGTGTCTGTACAAAACACTGAAGCCTCGTGTCCTTGGCTTGTCAGCTTCTGAACGTTAATTAATGCCCCAGCATTACACCTTCTCCCTGTGATATGTCCCATGTCAAATTGTTTTCCTATTCCAGGAAACACTGCTCACAAATGAAGTTAAGCTTCCAAGAGCGAGAGAAACCATTGCCCCCATTGCCCCCAGCTCCCCGCAACCAAGTGGAAATTTAAACTGGGCCCAATCCCTCTCGCTCCAGTGCAGAGCAGGAGCCCGGTGCCCTCGGCGTACAGACAGCAGTGCCAGGGGCCCCAAGACGGGATCCTGCAGCAGGGACTCCTGGTGGGATCTGAATAGCAAAGGCTGAGCTCATTTATTCTTCCTTCCTTACAATCTCCCTTTTCTTTCCATTTCACCACCTCCTTATTTAACATCATCGGCTGTTGTGCAAAACCATCAACCCTGTTTGCAGCAGTGTGACCTACTTTACCACGCCGTCCTGACTTCCTCACTGAAATCGCAAGCTCAGAGCCCACCCAAGCCATTCAGCGTTTCTCAGCTGAATAACAAATCCAATTAGGTGGAAGAAAGCCTGGCTTTCACGCTGTCAGCGCCTGGACATCTCACTTCCCTCTCCCCAGCACACGCTGCACCACTGATGGCCGCGTCTCACAGACATCGCGGACAAGGACCCCTCTGTATTTGTGTGCTCCCCTCCAAATGAAGATGGGGGGAGGGTTCATGAGGACTGATCCTGGCTATCCCACATGTCCTTTCATTCCTCCTGACAGCCCCCAGGGACCACAGAACTCAGGAATCAAATAAGTAAGTTGTGGGTTTTCAGTTCTGGCTCTCTTGGGAAGGCCGCCCTTCCCAGTTGAGGCTGGAGGAGTGGTCCAGGGCCATGCCAGGACGGCAGTACTTCTGCTTGTTAAAAAGCTGCTGGCACTTTCAGCCAGGCCGTGATTTAATGACTGATAGAAAGTCCCGTCTCTCAGTCCCAGCATCACTCCTAACCCCAGTCCTGCAGCTCCGTCCAGAGAAAACATTGTAATTCTGCCCTTTGCTGCTCCCCTTACTCTCTTTTTCCACCCCAGCGGGGATCCTTCTCCCTACAGCCACCAGCAGGCAGCCAGTCCGCAGGATGCTGGCTCTTCTCCATCGTGGGGGATAGCCGTGCATTAAAAGGGATGAGTAGTAACAAAACAAGGAGAGAAAAGCTTAAGGGCCACCAGCAAAAGCCCGTGTGGTTTCTAACTTCCCTGGCTGGGTAGGATGAACAGACATCCCCTGCCCTGATGCGAGCCCAGCAGCATGTTGCTGCGTGGCTCTCCGGCAGGTGCAGGGAGGCAGGGGAG